AAAAGCGTGATTGCATTATATAGCTGCCAGAACTGCAAAGGCATAAAGAAAAAAAGGCAATTTCATTACTAGAAAAGAAAAAAAAAAGAAACCCTGGAAACATCTGTGGTGGGTATGTGTGACCCAAAGCACCCTCACGCGGTGCTGAGACGCTGCACCCGGGGGAAAACAGGATTGCCCAACTTACATGCCCGAAGAACAAGAAGGGAAGGAGAAACGTCAGCCCCCGCCACATCCAGGACTGAAATCCTTCTGGAAAAGGTTGACAGACAAGGCAGAGTGTGAGCACAGAAGAGCCAGGACTGGAGCTGCAGCTCTTCCCCACCCAGACCACCCCATAAGGGCTGTCCCTGTCCTGCTCTGCAATAACCAACCAAGTTGAAGGTGTGATAATGGAAGGAGGATGAGGATGGGGATGACCAAAACCTCCCTCCTGACCCCCTCAAAAGCTGACAGAAATCAGATCCCTTGGCTCCCAACCCTCTGAGGGTTTATCCCAACTCCCTGAGGAAAGGGATAAAAGCCTTGACCCCTTCAGGCCTTGGGCCACAGGCAGCAAGGCAGGGGGGCAGCTCTGCAGAGCTCACTCTCGAAGGCCACACAGCCCTCTCCCTCCCTATCACTGCATCCAAAACCTGTGCCAAAACTGTGCAAAGGAAGTATTGCAGCAAACCTCACCTACTGTAAGGTCCAAGTGGTTTCTCTCCCCCAAAGCCCGGAGCCTATAGAGGCAGCCCCTTTGGTAATAATACTGTAGGAACTGAACACAGCCTGGAGAAGGAGAGAGAAAACATCACTGCTTTGGCTATTCTGAAGTATGATAAATATCAAACTGCTTTAATAATGTTTAATCCAAGAGCATTTAATTATTGCTTATAGTTGTAGATTGCATATTTGTACACTATCTTTATATTCCTACAGTTTAATACTCCAGTATTTACCAAACAGAAGTGTTTTCTTCTAAACATGTAAGACACAAAATTACTTTATCCTGTGAATTAACAAGGTAAGAAATACTCACTCTGAAATATTGAAAATGCTAAAAACTGACTGCGAAACATCTGATACATGAGTCCATCCGGCCTGGAAGCAAAACCCAGGGGAGGTCCATTAGTTTGCTAAAAGCACATGACACGGTGCCCTTCCCCTTCACCACCAAGCCTCATCCCATCAGCAAACGAACCAGCAGCTGGTACCCAGCCCATTCCACCCCACTGGGAGCCCAGGGAGGTGCTACAGCCACACAGGAGACACTCTCATTGATTAGGTTTCCCCTCTCCAACAAGTATAAAAATCTTTGCCATTATCACAGTTTTCTTTGGGCAGCAAAGCCATTCAGCATCATCTACACTGAGAATCTGAGCAGTGGAGAAGGGAGTGGTTGTGCTCATTATCCTGAGGGCAGTTCAGGATAGATGGAGGACAAGGGATCTTCTGCTCCAGCAACCACATCATCCCCTTACAATTTCTAATAATTAAAACGATTTTTAATAATTAACTAATCAGTTCATGCCCAAGTTGAGACAGGGCTGTCCATGGGGTGGATTGCCAGGTTGTCTGACACCACCACCCACTGCAATGTCACCTGCATTTCTGGCTTTAGACTCTGTAATTAGGGTTTAATAAAGGCACCAAACCTTCGTTTTGTGGTGTCCCTCCTCTACAGCAGCAAAGTGCTGCTTGTTTCCCTACTTACAGAGACAGGAATTTGGAGCCTTTGCAGAGGCTTTGCTACCACCACGCCAACTACACTGTAGGGTTTGTGTTTCTTTCTTTCCTTTTTTTAAACCAGCAATGTAAATACAAACTTGCAGCGTTGTATTTATCACTGGAAACATCTGTAACATCAAACAAATATTAAGTCTGACGCTCTGCCATGAGCCCAAGTGGCCACAGCTGCCCAGTCACGCTGCATTTGAATGCTCAGATGACACAAACACCGTGAAACAAGCTTGAAGCACCTCGAGCAGGCGAGAGCAGACTCACCACGTCAACATCACTCCAGACAGGAACGTGGAAACGTAGTGATGGGACACCCACCAGCCTTTGATCCTGAGGGAAAAAACCAAATGTGGCAGTCAAGGAACGTGGATTTCAGCACTGAAGCCCAGCTTGACGGACAAAAATGATCCTGCCTTGGGGAGGAGGGACAGGGAACAGAACAGTCAGCCCAACTCAAGCACAAGGGATGCTGCAAGAGCACCGCCCTGGCAGTGTGGCTTAGCTGGGGGCACTGGGGGGAGGCTCAGGACCAGGGCACGTCTCCCATGCTCCCACGGGCTCTCCAGCACATCCAGCAGCAGCAGTCCCTGCAGCACGAGGCACCTCCATAGCTAATGACACACAAGTGTCAGCCCACACATCCTTTTTCTTCCCTGCTGTGGAATTAAGTGACGTTTCCAGGGCCTTCCTATGAGGTGGCTGGTCCTTTCAGACACGAGCACTCAAGAGAGCTCAGGAAACAACAGTAAAGTGAGCGAGGGCTGTAGTGGAGCAGAATCAAGAAGTGAAGAGCTGCTCCAGAGCCAGAGCTGCTTTGGAAACTAAGCCAACATGGGTTGATTTTGAGGATTTGGCTATGGATTGATTTGCGGCGTTTCTGAGCAGAAGTGTGTGACCTCTGACACAAGGCAGCACACTTAACACCCCAGGCCACACCTACAAAACCCACAGCTACCACAGGCATCCAACACTTAGGACCAAGAAATTAGGGACTTCTAGGAACTGCAACTTCTCTCTCCCCAAACTTCAGGTGGCCACATCCGCCCTTGGAGGCAACAAGGGGAGGGGGATGGAGACAAGACCCTGCAGGGAGACATCAGCATCTCATATTTGCTGGGCTTCAGTGCCAAGCTGAATCCTCTTTTGTCTCTTGCTTTTCTTTTAAGGACATTTCATGCTCTCCCTGGGTTTTGCAGGTGGCACAGTACCTTGATCCATTGCTAATGAGAATGCTTTCCCGTATCGTCAGCGTGCAGTAATACCACACTAACAGGAAGTTAAACACTTCATCTGTCACCCTGTTAAACGGAAAAAAACACAGAGTTATAAAAAAAGAAATCCTGTCCGTTGCAAAGATACATTTTAAAAAGCCCTATTTTTCCTTCCTACCCCTGGGGGAAGGAAAACCTGCCCGAGTGAGGCCACAGACACAAAGCCCCACTCCTGAACATCTCTAACCTGCAGGCAGAACTGCACACACGCAGCACTTGAAGGGTTCAGGGCCTTTTCCCCCCAGGAAGTGCCCTGTGATATAACACTGCAGATCCTGAGCTGATAAGCAGGTATGCAGGGATGACATTAAGTCCTTCTGAAGGAGAGAAAGCACCATGGAGGCAGAGGATGATCCAATTTGGAAAGGCATTTCCAGGCTAATTCAGTGAGGAGATTTCCATGAGATCTATATAAATCCAATCAACTAAAAGAACGAAGAGCATTACGCTCCAAGGGGGAAAAAAACAACCCAGCAAAACTTTATTTTGCCATTTGTAAATCCCTTGAAGCCCAGGGGACTTGGGGCAGTCTCTGTACAAGGCAGCACCGTTCCTGGTACAATCCTGCATTCACCCAGACCCACAGAGACCTCAGGGAAGCTCCTGGCTCCAACATCTTCCTGGTTTTTAAGCAACACTGAATACTGGAAGCTTGTTGGTGCTCAGACACTTATCACAACCCGGAGATCGTGTTTCAGGTCTGATTATTTCATGCAAATCCTCTCTCACTGCCTTTGCAAACCCAAAGCCTCAGCTCAGGGCCTGGGACAACCCATGAGCAAAAGCAACTGCTTGTTCCCAAGCACAGCATCATGCCAGAAAAAAAAAGAAATCAGGAAACATGTTGTTGGACTCCTCTCAGTTGCAAAAGACTCCCAAAAGAGTTTAAAAAGGTAAAACACCTAAAACACAGATCCTGCCAGAGTTGAAGAGGTGCAAAAGGTGTCCTGCTGTCCAACTGCCCAAAGCCTGAACACCACCAGAGCTCCTCTCACTGTCCTCAACAGGACATAAGTTAGTTCCAACCCAGCACGTTTTTATTCAAAATACTTGATGAAAAGTAAAAATGCAGCTTACCTATAGTGCAGAAAAAACCTGCAGGCAACAGCCCCAAGTAACAAGATTATTGTCAGATAAAGTTTGAACTTCTCATACTCGTCCTTGTAGGCAAACCTGGAAGGGAACAGACACCGCTTATGGACACAATCAGGTGTTTGACCACAATGGGGCTCCACTTTTTTCAAACCAGACACAAATCCACATGCCAAGCCCAGAGACAGAGATTTTGCTGAAACACTTAGAAAAGCAGCAGAAAGGCAGAGTTCTGCCTGCAGGGAGGGTCTGTTCTGCTGCAAGACAATGGCTTCACTCCACCAGCAGGTTTCTGGGTTTAAAATATACACAGATTTAAAATATATACATCTCCATTTTCTGCATCACCGTATGCCTAGAAGTCACAATACCATTTTTCATTGCAAAAAGACCCCACCCTTACAATTAGACCACAGGCTGGGTTGGGCTGGGCTTAAAAGCAAGTGATGGACAAATTCAATTGTAGCTACACGAAGCCTTAGCTTGTCCCCATGTCATGGTCCAATTTCCCCACCCCTGACATTTCACTTCTCAGATCTCAGAGAAACCCATTCCCCTCTCTGGACTTCAGTGCTGGCCCCAGGGAACCCAAATCACACGCGTGGGAACACTCACTCACTTTGCTTGGTTACTCAGGAGAGTCACATTCACGTTTCCCAGCACCAGATTCAAGTACAGGCTGGAAGACAAAAACCAAGAGCAGACCCAAGTAAGTTGTTTTATTTGAACACTCCAGGATGACCCAGATTGAGCTGATGAGACAACGTCTCTGCCAAAGCCACATTTGCTGGAGGTTTTTAATTGAGGCAAACTGGAGGGATGAACCACAGAAGAGGATTTAAACATGGAAAAATCAGTCAGCATTTCCAAGAAGTTAAAGAAGAGGTTTATTTTCCTGGTCCCTTTTCTGCTCTACAGTCTAAGGGCGAGATATATAAAGTGCACTCCCCAAATCCAAAAATAACAGAGAGGAACTGGAAGAAAAGTTTCTGATAGAAACTCCTGAGGGGCTGCAGCATCACGCAGTGTTTGACAACTGTCACAGGCCTGTCCTGGCAACCCCACTTGAAGGAAAGTATAAATTTAAAGTTAATTGGAAATTTTATTTAAAAAGGAGAAAATTCTTGTGCTGATTCATTCCTAAAAAAAAACAGCCCGGGAAAACATCAGTGTGGACCAGTGAAGTGCACAATCCCTCACCAGTGCAGGTTACTTCCATTTTAACAGAAAACCTGCACTGCCCACACACAGAGTGCATTTACATACACTCACAGCTCATGAATTCTGTGTACCACTGACACAGCAGCTCAGCAGGAGATTCATGACTAATCCAATTTTACATGTCTGTCTTCGACATGCACCTTCTCCTTCAGGAACAAACCGCTGAGAACCCTTGAAAAATCAGCCTTCCTGGCGCGTGTGGCTCCCCAGGGAGCACGTACCCGTTCTTCTTCGGCAGGTAGGCTTCCATGTCGAAGAAGGCATTCTGCCTCTCCTTGATCTGGCTGCTGATCTCCTGAATGAGAGCAAACTCCTCGGGACTCGCTCTGGGCTTGCACCTGCAAGAGCCCAGAAACAAGATATTCCTGTTCACGCTTTCACCTCCTTTATATTTATAGGGAAAATAATGTTGTCATAAAATCCACGCTGGTGAAAGAGCTGACTGTGTGAGGTGATGCCATCGCGCGCTTTGCCCCTGTGTTTCTGCAGCACCATTTGGTTCGCCACGACTTTATTTCACTGCCAGGTTTATGTTCCTGAAAGTTACTTCAAGCAGCTGGTTTATAAATCAGCTCAGTGACAGGATTGTGTGCTCTTCCCAAACAGAGAGCTTTGGGAATTTTGTGCTTTTTTGCAGAAACTCCTTCCACCTTGGGAACCTGGGAAGTGGTTTCACACACTGCCCTTGCCGAGGCTGCAGCTCTTCAGGTATGAAATACTGCAGGATGTAACAGGACACGGAGCTGACGATTTACTGGCAAACTGTGGTTTTAGCAATTAATGTAAAACAGAGAGCAATGTACAGCAGAGCCAGCAGCCCGGGGTGTTGGAGGTGCTGTACTGAGACCTGCACACCAGGAATTCGGCCTGTGGCTCCTGGGGATCAGCCAAGCAGCCAGAGAGAGCTCCCTCCTGTAAATCCACCCAGGGGTTAAGTTACACCTCCAGGTTCGAGGATTGATGTTGCTCCTCCAGTTGCAGCCTATGGAGCAAAGCTTTGCTCACCTGGCAAAACCCACAGACCAAGAGCTGCAAGGACACACTGCAAGGATGAAACCCACACTGGCTCCCTCAAAATCCTTTGTTTACAGGACTCCATCTCTCATGCAGTTATTAACGTTTTACCTGGCTATAATATGGAGCAACTTTAGCACTGCAACACACACTGCACATTAAAATGCTAAAAATCCAACCATTTGAGCCCTTTGGGAAGGAGAAACACCCCATCCCAGCCTCCTCCACCCTCCAGGCCTCCCGTTACCTTTGCAGGCTGTGCTTCAGATCTTTCAGCGTCTTCTTCTGCCTGTGTATGGAGCTGCTACAGACTGTCTGCAAGCTGGTGACTTCTTCCAGTTTCTGCCTGTAAACTTTGTGTGTTTCCTGCAGGAGAAGAGGAGACAAGGGGTAAGGGGAACCCTTCTAGGTTACTTATAGCATTTGATCCTCCCCTCCGAGGGAAGCAAGCAAAGCCCTGGTTTTTGGGAGTCAACAGGCACCCCTGCATACAACCAAGGAGGGGGCACTGCCAAGCCAGCACAGATCCAACAGGGCTTAAATGGACACTGATGAAATTCCTGCAAGAGGAAAAGCATCTACACTCATCTAATTTCCTCTTTCTAATGAGCTTTCCCACTCAGGAGCTCCTCACTCCCATCCCATCCTGCAGTGAAGCCCCTAATCCTTGAATCTCCTAATCCTCCAATCTCCTAATCTTCCATTTGATCCTGATCCATCCCCACCAAATGGGTGGCTAAATCTCAGAGCAGGCACTCCAATTTCACAGCCAGATTAAATCTGGAGGGAAAAAGATGATGTGGACCTAAAGGGGAGGAAAAAGAAGACACAAATCCAGGCCAGGGGGTTTAGGCACCTCCTGGCCACAGGGTTTAGGTACCTCCTGGCCACCACTGCCATCCCAACCCTATGGATGTTCAAGCAACCTACTGCCCCATACTCTGGTTTAAGAAGTCTCAGGAAGGGCTCACCAGACACCAAGCAATGACCTCTGGGCCAACTTTAGGATCTACAATGAGTTGGAAATCAGAGTTTGCAGAGTTAGTGCCAAGAGACAGCGTGGGTAACACGGCTGTTGACACGGCTGCTTCATCTACCAACACATCAACGACCACAGAAAATTCCCACTGCTTTTCCCAGAGCACAAACAGGGTGGTAAAACCACCTAAACCAAATCTTTGCTCTCCTTTGTCAGGACCCAGCTGGAAGATGTTCGTTATTTACAAGAACAAACCAAAACAAGCTCCTGTATATGACTTAAAGACCTTAATAACCAAACTAACCATGGGCAGGCACTGCAGCTCTCATGGTTTGTGGATCACTTTGGCTTTGCTTGGCATGGACAGGACTTCAGGGCTCCCTGGATTGCAGAGTAACTCATCTTGCTTCTCTAGATATCACGCAACAACATCTTACAAAAGGCTGATTCAAGGGGCGTAAAAACCTCTTTGCCAAAAAAGGGTTCGAGTATTTATTGAAAACATGAACAGGCGAGTTGAGAGCTGGTAAATTCTACCCCCAGCCAAAACCATCAGGATAATGGTTTGAAAATGACACTGTTGTTTAGAAGAACATAACATTTGCTACAAGTGGGGTTATTTATTTGCCAAGAGAGACGAGTGCTTACAAGGAGACTCATTGACAGCAGGGTCTTAATCCAAATCTGGTGACATGTTCATACTCAGGGTTTAAATTAACAAACTGTTGCAGTGCAACTTGCATTTTTTCCCATGTCCCTGCCCCAAAACTGAAACATCCCACAACCCTGAGCTCTGTCTCAGAGATGAGGCATGAAGAGCAGCTCCTGCACGGCCCTGGACCAGCATTTCCAGCTGGAGAGGAGAGTCAGGGCAGCCAAAAAGGAGGAGATGCAAGCATGGAGGGGGGTCAAGCTGCTGCTGGGGAAAACAGGCTCCTCAGGAGCAAGAGATGCTGCAAGTGCATCCAGAAAGCCACATGCAAGGGCAAGTAGGAGCAGACACCCAGATGGAAGTACTTTCTTACTCTAGAGTTGGGGTTTGACTTGAAACCGGTTCAGGAGTACAGGACCTTCCTCCAAAGCACGTCTAAGCACCACCAGCATCTCGTGGAGCTGGAGCAGAGCCATGACCTCTCTGTTCCCCTCTTTTGCAACACATAAGAACTCCCTGATTGTGGATGTTATTCCAGCTTCTCACCTCTATGGTGCTAATCACTGACCAACTACACCTTGTGCCACCAGCAGCTGCCACCCCACCGAGAGGCATTTCTACTTTCCTTTCACAGGTGAGGAAACTGAGGCAGGGACAAGTTACCGACATTTGGCTGTGGTTTAGGTCAGACTCGGGTGATTGGTGAGGACAGTCAGCACACACAGCAAACAAGTGACCAGCAAAACCACGCCAGCTGGTCTCCCCCAGCACCCAGCCTTTCCTTCTGCTAACAGACATGCAACCTGAACTGACTTTTAATTAAGACAGAGAGCTAAATCTGGAAATCACACTTTTTTTCTTGTGTGCACGTTCTGTTTAACAGCCTAAAAGAGGCTAAAACAGCCTCCAGAGCGAGAACAGCCGGTCGTACCTTAAAACAGGCTTTAAGATTTAAAGCACGTGTACAGGTGCAGCACTGATGACATGCAGGGAGAGGAAGGCTTCTGGAGGCAAAAGCATCTTGCAGAACAGCTCTTGGCCCCTGCTCTAAGGCCTTTCTGTCCCTTGGTGAACTTTTGCGAGATGCAAAAACATCACTTGAACCCCTCGTACCCCATCACGGGAAATCAAACTGTGCAAGAAGCTGGAAGGGCAAGCACTGCCTCGGCTGTTCTTTGTGCCGTGCCGTGGGTGCACAGCCACACCAGGTCCCCCTTTTCCATCCTTGCTCGGGCAGTGGGAAGCGCGGCACCACGACCCCTCGGTGCATCCTCGGAGGTAGCTCGGGCATGGCCCTGGTTCGGTCCGGGATGTCCCAGATGTGCTCGCAGTACTTGCCCGGGGTACCGGGTGTTTCTGCCCCGCAGGGATGCGCATCCCCGCACCGCTGGGCATCGCGCGGGCACCCCGCGGCCAAGCCCCGAGCACGCGTGGCCGCCCCGGGCGGGACGAGGGCGACCCTGCGGGGCTGCCCCGGGGCGGGGGGTACGGGAGGGACCCCCGGCCCCGCTCCTGCCGGGTCCCCTTCCCAGCCTGGGAGCGGGGGGGAGAGGCGGGGCCGGCCCCGCGCCAGGATGCGGAGCAGAGCCGGGGAAGGGCAGCGCGGGAGAAGCCGCAGACGCGCGGCCGGGCGAGGCACGGCGATGCCCCCCGCATCCCGCCGCCCGGGAGCCGCGCCCCCGCGGCGCCCCGCTCACCTGGAGCTGCCGGAACTCCTCCTCCAGCTCCCGCCACTCTTCCCGGCCCCGCTCCAGCTGGTCCCTCATGGCGCGGGGCCGCGCCAGCTCCGCCGGCCCCGGCCGGCGCGCGCCCCCCGGCCCGCGGGCCGCGTGCGCCGCTGACGTCATCGCGCGCGCGCGCGCGCGCGCGCTCACGGGCGCGGCCCCGCGGCGGCGCGCGCCACCCCTCCGCCCCGCCCCCACCCCCGCGCGCGCCCGCCCCGGTGGGGAGGGAACGGACAGGTGAGGAGGGATCGGGCCCCGCGGAGAGGGGGAACCCCCCGGCCGGGGCTCCCTCTGGGCAGGGAGGATCTCCTCAGGTGGGGGCTTCCCTCAGGTCCATGCTCTCCTCAGGTGACGGACCCCCTCAGGTCAGGGACCCCCTCAGGTCAGGGACCCCTCAGGTGACGGACCCCCTCAGGTCAGGGACCCCCTCAGGTGAGGGATCCCCTCAGGTCAGGGACCCCCTCAGGTCAGGGACCCCCTCAGGTGAGGGATCCCCTCAGGTGAGTGACCCCTCAAGGGAGGGATCCTCTCCATGAAGGACCCCTTAGGTGAGGGTGTGCCTCAGCCAGGGCTCCCCTCAGGTGAGTGACCCCTCAAGGGTGGGATTCTCTCAGTGAGGAGCCCCTTAGGTGAGGGTGTGCCTCAGGTGAGAGCTCCCCTCAGGTGAGGGCTCCCCTCAGGTGAGGGCTCCCCTCAGTTGCTGCCACCCCTTCCCCTGCTCACCTCCTGGGGACCCTGCACCTCTCCCAGGTCCCTTCATTCTGTGGCAGCATCTGAAGTGCTCCATGAAGCATCTTCCTTCCCCTTCCTTCCCCTCAGGGGTGGGTTGTCTCGCATGGGACTGAGAATGGAGACAAACCCCTCCATGCACAGGGACGGCCCTCTCTGAGGGACCTGCTGGCTGAGGTGACCACCCAGCCCTGCAGCTGCCTGGGGCCCGGCCACGCTTCCTTAATATCAGAAAAAAGGCAAGAATATTCCTGATCTCTTTATTATTACAATAATAACCCACTTAGGGGCTGGGCTGGACAACTGGGAGAACTGCACAGTGCTTCTTGTCCTGTGGGTTTGTTGTGAAAGGGTGGAAATAGGCAAAGAGGAAGAAAAAGAGAAGAGGAAGGAAGCAATTAAAAAAAAATGGTACAAGGGGGAGGGGAGGAGTGAAGCCGAAGTAAAAATACAAGTGCAATGCTGTCTTTTCATGGGGAGTGTATGTGGGATCCCGTTTCCTTGGATTTGACGTAAACAACCAAAAACATTGGGTGTAGAGACACTCCTCAGTGTTCCTGCTGTCCCTGGTTCTTTTCTGGGTCTGTATTCACACTCTTTGCTTGTTTTATGTCCTTTATGCATGTTCTTTTCACGTGTGTGTGGGTTGACACCTGAAATGCAGTCCATGACCTGTTCCCTTGTTTCCAGAGAAACCTGCTCAGAGCTTGCTTGGTTGGGGATTTCTACTGGTTTAGGAACCACCAAGGCTGGGGATGTTCCTTCGTCCCTGCTGCTCCTCCAGTGAGGCTGTGATCATCCAGGGATCAAGGACGTGTGTTGTGGCTTTGATAATCCTGAAGTAGAATAAATAACTGATCAACGCAGTAAAAATGTCACAGGAGTGTGCTATGCCTGCATTAAATTTTCCCCAGATTCTAGCATTTGTCCACAACCCCATGTAACAAGAGTCTGTGTTACAGGAAGCCTGGATTTTGGATTACACAATTTGGAAGGGAAAGGATCACATCTCGGATCACAGCTTTGATTCCGCGCTGGATATGTGACGAAACTTTCCAGTTCACCTCAAGGTTAGAGTACTCCCTACCAGCCAAATTATTTCTCCTTCCCTCATGAAAACATTCCCTCCTCCTTTGCAATTACTCTGTCAGTTCAGCTTATGACAGGATCACCCCAAAGATGTAGCTGCATCTTCCTCCTGGCTGTTGAAGGAGGTTGGGGTGCTGACACCCTCATGAAGAGCTGGGGGAATCCAGACTGGACCTTATTTTCTTTAAGTAAAAACATTTAATAGAAACACTAACACTTCAACTGCTTGTGTCAGTCCTAACATTCAGGGAAAGTTACTTCTAGGATACATCATAAATTGTAAATAACCCTTAAAACTCTCACTGCTGAGCTATAAGCCTCAAAAGGGCTGAAGAAAGCTCTTAGTATCAGCCATGTTTGCCCTGGGTGTAATTCTGCAGCCTGATGACATTTCTTTAGGGCTGTGGCAGGTGCTGTGTATACAAAGGCAGGAAATGTTGAGCATTTCCCACTCCGAGCTGTGCTGGCCCTGGAGCTCTCCCAGAACACCAAGGGATCACCAGACCTTTATTCCAAACTTTCCTGCCTCTCCCCTACACCTCTTGACAAGGAACAATTCTTAAGCGTGTTGTGGTTGTGTATAAATATAACCTCAAAAGATTTCCTTCAACTTTTTAGCTGAGACACGCTAGTTAATATTGATTCAGGAGATGTGTATTTTCTTTAATGCAGAAAACATGAAAGAATTTCGCTAAACACCAACAATGTGAGTGTAGCACAGTTGGCCTTGCAGCTGGTTCTACGTTATTTAATGCTGCACCATTACAAAAGATTTCAGAATTACCTGTAATCTCTCCCCACCTCCTTGGGAGACTGAAGTTGTTTGTTTAATCCCGTTATTTCAACCACATCTTTGTGAGTAAAACCAAAGCAAGATAAGGTAACAATGAGCTTTTTTTAACTGGATCTAGATAAGTTGTTTATTATAGTGTGTATAATTTTACTCAGTAAGAACGGAAACTACAGATTGTAATTAAATTGCAGACCTAAGTCATATCTTCCCAATCCTAAGGCTGGGGACACGGGGAGGGGATGCTGGAAGGGCAGCAGGGGTTGTGTCTCATCAGGCTGTGCTGGACAATGTCCCTCTCTGCCTACAGCAGCAACTCCTGCAGAAAAGCCATTTTAAAAAGTTCCGTCTTTGGGAATTACATTTCCCATCTGAATTAAATGTTTATTTTGGGGAAAAAAAAAAAATTTGAAATTCTCCCCTTATGGAAAGACAGGAACAATAGAGTCTGAGGTTTCATTTTCTATCTGACTAAAATGCACCCCTAAATATCTACACCCATTGCACTCAGTGGGCAACCCAAGACCTTAGTGGACTATTATGGAAGTGCATCTTGGTATCTTTTTCTAGGTATCTTGGCACCTTTTAGTGGCTGTTTTCTGCTGCCAGAGATCACGTAAGGCCATTGCACAGCAAATCTACAGACGCGAAATCTCTGCTTTGCCTTTACCTTAATTAATCCCCAGCTCATCAACCATTCACTGCCAGAGAACATATCAAAGAAACTGAGTTAATAAATCAAGTTAAGGATCACAGTGAAACTGTGACTGTTTGTTCTTTTGGTTTTAGACTTGGTTGAGTACACGTAGCTATGTATGTACGGTCACATGTGAGCTCCTTCCCCTCACCTTCCTCCACCCTGAACGCAAATTCCATTCATTCTTCTCTCTTAAGATAACTGAGGCTGTTTCCTTTGATGCTTTTTCCCTGTCCTAGAAATGCAGATTCTTTCCAGCACAGCAAATGGGAAAGGACAAGACATAAATGCAGACGAGTCCCTGTTCTACCATCAGGTGACAATAAGCCATGATAAATAAAATACTTGGCTCATGTTTCAGCTGGAAATTGATACTGCTGATTCATCTTGTATTCATCTGGAGTTATTTGTCACTTAAGGAACAAATTAAGGACTTCAAGTGAAGCAGTAGCTCAAGTATGGCCAAATTTATCTGCCTCCAACAGTACTGAGAGTCCTGCAAACTGCTCCACAGTTGCACAGTAAATAATTCTCAGCTTTGTGTGACTTCACTAATTAACATCATAACTCTATCTTTGAACCTCTATCTTGCTGCAGGTAGTTAAGTAGAGACCGTTAGCTGTAAACCTGCAGCAACAGAAACTCCTGGGGAGAGGGTATCTGATGTCAGCTCCAAGGACTTCAGCCCTTCACTCTGCATGACTAAGTGCCCCAACATTCCAGATAAGCCAGGGCTCTTACTTGGGGTCGTTTTGCTGTAAAACAACCATGGTTTTTATCTTGAGAGAGCTGTTCCCAGCCAAAGGGAGGGAAGAGTTTTAAAGAAACACTTCCCCACAAGGCTGCCTCTTAAGCCAGAGTCAACCAGTGAAGTTTGCACCTCCACCCTTTCACTTCAGTCCCTCCTAAATCCTGCTGATAACAATTCTTAAAAGCAGAGTGGTGGGGAAGCTCCTTCAGCGCTGCACCCACTCCGTGCTCATCCAGCTACACCCGACACAAGCTTGGTTGGAGTCCAAGACCCTCCCACCTCTTCCTCTGGCTTTTCTATTGAATGTAGCAGCAATAAAACAGGCATCTGAGCATCCTACTTCCACAGTATGTTGTTGTCACATTCTTCACCTTTAAAGAATTCCAACATATGTTTCTCTACATGCTTTTCCTCTATTTATTCTAGGAAGTTCCCAGAATAAATTTAAATTATTGATTCTGACAGTTTTCAGTTGGTTTGGGCATTTCACTTGGGTGATTCCCCAAGCTTTGTGAGAGCAAACTCAGCTCAGAGCAGCTGTCTCCTTTCAGTGCAAAAATGATTGGTTTATGATGTAGAACACGGAGGGCCTTTAGTTTTATAGGTTTTTTTTCAAATCTTACTCTTCAGAATGAAAAAATGAAGGTGCATCATGTGTCCATCAGGTATCACAGGACCTTGATCCAGAAAGGTGTGTTTCCAGGCGTGTTTCCACACACATCCTGCCAGTGCTTGGTTTGCTCTTCACTGTATCCATCCTGGAAGGAAGTGGAGAGCTGAAAGTCCATGGCAACGAACTGTGTTGGCAGAATAATGGGCTGAGTTAGAGCATAATTCACATAGCTAGATTTAACTGCTTCCTTTCAGTCTTAATAAATGTAAGGTTTAATCAACTGCCAGACAACTGGAGCAACAAGGGTGCCAACAGAACTGAAACCCTGTCACGCCCTGGTGAAGGAGGCTTTGCTGGTGCTTCTTGGTGTCAGTGACCAAAGTCTGTGAGAGTGAAATAAGAAGAAAAAAAACAAAC